AACCTGGCGACCCGGGTTCGATTCCCGCTCACGGCAAACACCAGTGACGATTATCTGAACCTGTCCTGGGCCTCCCCTAGGTCGACTCAGCCTCAAATGAGTACCTGGTGCGGTGTGTAAACATCGCCACTGGGGAGACAAAGGCGGCCGGGCGGACGTGGCGCTGGCCTCGAATCAATTTCGTGTGCCGTGCTGGCCTTCATAGGTACTCGCTAACAGCACTTGCCCCACCGGTCTGTTAAGGCTACACGGGGGACATTTTATTTTGTTGTGTATCTGTGTGTTCGCTGAAAAATGAGAGAGGTGACAGGGAGATTGCGGAATCTGGTGGAAGGGTTCAGAGAAAACAAAATTGGAAATGAGAACCAAGGAGTTCTTGGAAAAGGTCTGGAATATAAATACGAAGAAACCCGAAGTAAATTCAATATTAATATCTTGGGGGAGAAAAAAAAATAACATCGGAGAAAATTCCCATAAAACCTGAGAAAAATCGGGGGAAAAATCCCACCAACAAAACGTATGGAGAAAAATCGAAGGAATCTGCAGAAGATATACCAAGTCAAACAGGCACTACCCTTTAGCCTAACTAGTAAACTAAACCAATGACTGAAATTATGGACTCCGAGAATGCGTTTGTGGCTGATGGTAAGTGTAAAAAGAAGATATGAAATGTTATATGTGTGTGTTGTTTATCCACGTTTCGGGGCAGATATGAGGATGAGGTGCAACTCGTGTCCTCGTATTTGTGTTGTCACTCAGTCCGCTTTTCACTCCGGAGATATAAAAACTATTTTTTTTTATAATTTAGTATTTTACCAGAAGCGACCTGGCCGCAAATGATAGCTCAACGAAGTGGCTTATCGTCTGCACATTTATAGCAGCCAAATACTCAAAACGCGTGATGTTGATTCTAAATGTGGAGGGAAAAACTGGAGGACCCGGAGAAAAATCCACGCGACCACGGAGACAGACACGCAAACTCCAAATATACAGCAGCAGGCGTCAGGGTCGGGATGGAACCCACGACCTCCTGTATACCAGGCGAAGTAGTAAACATCTATACAGACGAGCTGGGAGTCTGAATGGAGTTGGCTGTATTTGTTTGATCAATGTTTGGGAAGTGGGGTTTGACATGTTTACTTGGCTAAGACCTTCCGTGCGTGCTTGTGGGTGTGTGTGTGGCTGTTTTCTTTTTACTTGGACCTCCCCTAGGTCGGCTCAGCCTCAAATGAGTACCCGGTGCTGTGCGTAAACGACCGGGGCGTGGTGCTGGCCACCCAACCCCGTGGCGTGCTGTTCCGGCCTTCATAGGTGCTTAGTGACAGCACTTGCCCCTACATACTGTTAAGGCTACACGGGGGATCTTTATCATTGTCTGTGTTTTTTTTCCTGGGCCTCCCCTAGGTCGACTCAGCCTCAAATTAGTAACGTCTGTGCTGCGTGGATGGTTATAGGGGGGGTCAGAACCACGCCCGGCCGCCTTTGTCTCCCCAGTGACAATGTTTACACACTGCAACAGACACTGACGCAAGGCTGAGTGGACCTAAGGGAGGCCCAGGACCGGTTCGGATAAGCGTCATTGATGTTGGCCGTGAGCGGGAAGCCGACACGGGGGGACCTTTGTCATTGTGTCTGTGTTTTACTTTTTTCTCCATGGGCCTCCCCTAGGTCGACTCAGCCTCAAATTAGTAACCCGTGTGCTGCGTGTTTGTGTGTAAACATCGCCAACCCCCCCCCCCCCGCTCTTCCTCGTTGTGTCACAAGTCCCAAGTCTCTTCACGAGTGCTGCTAAGCCGCTCACAGCACCACCTTGCCCCAGCAGTCTGTTAAGTGGCGCCGCGCGTATTTGTGTACCGCCGTTAATGTTTTGGGCACACACAGCACACCACACAAACCACCACCGCACTCACTACGGCCGTGTCGCATAGATCAAGGGGGGGGGGGGGGTGCACTCCGATAGGCTGCACAATAGGACCCGTCCGTATGCCGAGCAGATTTGCGCTAATTGTTGCTGTCGAAACCATTGTGACGGCGGTGTTTTCTTGAGCAAGTTTGTGGACAAACACGAGCACTCACTCCTCTGTCGAGTCAAACACAAATAGCTCATTCCACCACACAACTCCCCCCACCACACACACACACCCCACGCCACCTCTCTCCCTGCTACTCGTTGCAGTCTTTAATAAACTGTTGGAGTGAGCAAGTGCTCGAAGCGAGCACTCTCTCATGCGTTGGGGGGTTCGCCAGAACCACGCACGGCCGCATTTGTATGCCCAGTGGCGATGATTTACGCGCTGCATCGGGGACTATTGTTTTTATATTCGTGTTTTTCTTTTCATGGTTGAGTCGAACCAGGGTGATGCCCCACGACCGGTTCGGATATTCGTCACCGGTGTTGGCCGTGAGCGGGAATCGAACCCGGGTCCGCTGGGTTTCGTAGCCCAAGTGGGCGAACCACTGCCGCTCACACACAATATTAATACACACAAAGACAAAGATCCCCCGTATAGCCTGTTATAGACTGTGGGTCAAGTGCTGTTAGCGAGTAGCAGCTAGGAAGGCCGGCACGGCGCACGAGGGGTTGGGTGGCCAGCACCACGCCCGGCCGTCTTTGTCTTCCCGGTGGCGATGTTTACTACACACCGCACCAGATACTCATTTGAAGACTGAGTCGACCTAGGGGAGGCCCAGGACCGGTTCAGATAATCGTCACCGGTGTTGGCCGTGAGCGGGAATCGAACCCGGGTCGCCGGGTTCGTAGCGCAGTGCGCTAACCGCTACACCACCGCTCTCCACTACACACACACATACAATATACATAACACACGAGAAATACACTCGTATAGGCAAACGCATATATTGCATACGCAAAAATACACGAACATAAATACGCTCATATATACACTCACACAAATACACAGACACAGCGTACGCATTATTTGGGTCTTTCGGTAAAGTCACGTAGATAGGTTAAGATAAATTACAAAAAACTACGACGTTTCGAACCTTTTTTTTAACCTATCCTTACATAAGACCCAAAGAATATGAATTCCTGCAGTCACGAAAGCTTTAAGTCAATATTTTACAGCGTACCAACGTACAAATATTATACATCCATACCAATCAATACATCCAACAAAGATCACCCGTGTAGCCTGTAACAGACTGTTGGGGCAAGTGCTGTTAACGAGTAGCACCTATGAAGGCCGGCACCGTGGCACACGCGTGGATGATTGTAGCGTGGTCAGAACCACGCCCGGCCGCCTTTGTCTCCCCAGTGGCGATGTTTATACACTGCACCAGATACTAACGTCAGGCTGAGTGGACCTATAGGGGAGGCCCAGGACCGGTTCGGATAATCGTCACTGATGTTGGCCGTGAGCGGGAATCCAACTCGGGTCGCCAGGTTCGCAGCGCAGCGCGCCTAACCGCTGCACTACCGCTCCCCACATATTCACACAAAGACAAAGATCCCCCGCATAGCCTCAACGTACTTTTTGGGGCAAGTGCTGTTCGCGAGAACTTACACATAAATACAACGCACACGCAAATACGTACACACACATATATATATATACAGTAGATGACATCAATAATAAATTGTAACATTGTTAAGTTGAAGCAATTTGTCAGTCCACTGCTGGATAAAGATCGTCCCTCCACGCAGTGTAGGTCGTGGGGGTCGTTTGGCCAAACTTCCCCTCGCTGGTCGGTTCCGGTTGGTCAGGACCGCGTAAGGACCACGGACGAGTAACATCGCCGGGGAATCGAACTCAGCCTGGCGGGTTCGTCACGCGGTGCGCTAACCACTGCGCCACCGCTCCCACCCCACGTGGACACTTAGACACGCAGAGAGAGAGAGCGGAGAGAGAGACGCTCGGCACGGGTGGGTCGGGTTCGTCGCGCGGTGCGCTAACCACTGCGCCACCGCTCCCACACACGATAAACCCAAACGCATGCTTACACGGGGGGCGGGGGGGGGGGGCAATTTCTTTTACACCACTTCTGGTATTCGGCCTACTCTTCCACGCCGTCCGCGTGTGTCTTGGCGGAGGTGGGACGACTGACTCTACACATTCACAGTTTTTCTCTGCCGAGCGGACATCATCAGGCATGGCCGAGATTGGGGGGGGGGGGGTTGGATTTAGGGAAACTTTTTTATTGCCCTAATTTCAGGTGACGCGCCTGGAGATCGAATCGTCTATCAAGCGAGCCGAGCCGACCTCGATCTACCTGCTCAGAACCACCACAGTGGGTACGATGTGTTTGATACGCGTGTCTGTCGATATGAGTGGTGTATGTGCGTTGTTGTGTGTGTGTGTGTGTCTATGTGTGGGGAGCGGTGGTGTAGCGGTTAGCGCACTGCGCTACGAACCCGGCGAACCGAGTTCGATTCCCGCCCACGTCCAACACCGGTGACGATTATTTGACCCGGTCCTAGGCCTCCCCTAGGTCGACTCAGCCTCGAATGAGTACCTGGTGCGGTGTGTATAAAACATCAGCGCTGGGGAGACAAAGGCGGCCGGGCGTGGTGCTGACCACCCATCCCTTCGTGTGCCGTTCCGGCCTTCATAGGTTGCTACTCGCTAACAGCACTCGCCCCAGCAGTTTGTTAAAGGCTACACGGGGGTGTGCGTGAGTTGTTGTTCTTTGAAAGCGACTCTATGGCCAGCCAAAACAAATAACAAAGATCCCCCGTATAGCCTTCGCAGACTGTTGGGGCAAGTGCTGTTAGCGAGCAGCACCTATGAAGGCCGGCACTGTGGCACACGAGGGGGTGGGTGGCCAGCACCACGCCCGACCGCCTTTGACGAGCGTCACCGCCCCGACCCGCCTTTGTCTTTCCTCCGCGTAATCCCGCCTACCCCGCCAGCCCTCCCCGTTCACCACCACCACCTCCTCCTCCACCCCCTCCACCCAGCCCGCTCCGCCCCACCACCATGACGCGCACTTCGCTCTTATAAGGGCGAGGAGGAGGAGGCGGCTGGGGGTGTCTCTCCGTCTGAATTCGGACACGTTCGCTCAGCCACGGCACTCGGCTGTGGGCTGGGGGCAAGGCAAGCGACGTCTCTTCCCTCTCACGGCGCGACACTAGCGGAGTCCGTCTCGCTCATGTGCCAGTGTCTGTGTGTCTGTGTGTCTGTCTGTCTGTGTGTGTCTGTGTGTGTTGTGGGGGGGTAGTTCATAGGTGGAGCGCTACGATCCCGGCAATCCCTGAGTTCGATTACCGACTTACGGACAACACCAGCGGTGGTGGCGGTGACGATTATCTGGACCGGTCCTGGGCCTCCCCTAGGTCGACTCAGCCTCAAATGAGTACCTGGTGCGGTGTGTAAACATCGCCATTGGGGGGGGAGACAAAGGCGGTCGGGCATTGGTTGTTGGCCAACCCGCCCCCTCGTGTGTTGCCGTTCCTGGCCTTGAGTAGGTGCTACTCGCTAACAGCACTTGCCCCAACAGTCTGTGAAGGCTACACGGGGGATCTTTGTCATCGTCTCCTTCCCCCGATGGAGTGACTCGATTTGAAGGACTGAGTGTCTTTTTTTTATTCCGACAATGGAGTGTCAATGATAATCCAGGAGGATTTACCTTTTTATATTTTATCGACAGGACGATTCCTCGCTCAATTCGGCGTGATCGTCATCTTTTACATTTTAACAAACAATCAAAAAACCACGTGACAATCTCCTAAAGTATTATTTACAAGTAGTAGTCGTTCTTCGATAGTGCGGATAACAAGAAGATCTGATCGATACAGAAGACCTGGGAACCCATCGTTCGTCTCATCCACCGCCGTCTCTTCCACGACCCTTCGGAGTTTCACCTATAACGACCATGACGCCCATCGTCACCGGCGGAGTACTCTTACTCCTCGCTTTATCGACCCCGTCTCAATGCGCTCCGGACAGGAGGAGCCCTCCCTTGCCGGGACCCCGCGATTTCAGCGGCCACGCGAACGCCGTCCGCTCCCAAGCAGCAGCAGTCGCGGCGGCGGAGGCGACATTGTGGATCCGGCACGAGGAGTTGAACCGTGGTGTGGGCAGGGAAGAGGTCGAGGTGGAGGAGGAGGTGGAGGAGGTGCCGAGGAGGAGGCTACCGCAAGCCATCATCATCGGCGTGAAGAAGGGTGGAACCCGCGCTCTACTCGAGGCACTGCGGCTCCATCCGGACGTGAGGGCGGCAGGAGCTGAGCCGCACTTCTTCGACAGGAATTACCAGCGAGGCCTCGAGTGGTACAGGTGAGAGAGCCCGTGTCGTGGAGAGACAAAGGCGGCCGGGACTTGCGTTGCTGCTTCTGGCCACACGCGGGCAAGCCGCTCGTGCGCCGTGAGCCGGTACTCGATAACATCACGTGCCACCCCCCCCACTGATGCTCGTCTCTTATAGGGGATGTTTACAATGCCTGTCTGCAGATGATGAAACTTCCTTTCGGTACACCTGTCCGCGCGCATTGAAGAAAACAAATGACGTCTCTCGCTCTCTCTGTGTGTTAAACACGCCATCAGCCCACAGGGGCCTTCGAGGAATGCAGAACTTTAGCAGCGTTCGGTTTTCTCAGTGGCAGCCCACACGCAACACTTGGGTCCGAGTTGTGTGCACTCCCAGAAGGCCAACACGGGGCGGCTGATGGGATGTATAGAGAAACACTTTAAAATATCGATATTCTTTAGATTTAAAGCTTTCGTGACTGCAGGGATCCATCTTCTTGGTTCTTTCGGTAAAGTAACGTAGAATGGAAATAATAAAATAATAAAAATAAAACATTATAGAATAATTTTCACGACGTTTCGGTCACAACGCAAGCAGCCGTCCTCAGGTGAAGAACAGGTCTGTCAGACGCTGTCTCCCCGACAGACCTGTTCTTCACCTGAGGACGGCTGCTTGCGTTGTGGCCGAAACGTCGTGAGAATTGTATTTTATTATGTTTTATTTTTATTATTTTATTATTTCCATTCTACGTGACTTTACCGAAAGAACCAAGAATATAGATATTCTTGCTTTTTGCTTGGATAGATAGACTTGTGAAGGAGGAGGGGGATGATTGTCAGGCTTGTTTCCTTCAATTTCCTTGCGTATGACGACGTGGTGTAACGAGCTCGATGTCACCGATGTCGAGGTTTTACTGCTGCTGCTGCTGCTGTTGGTCACGACGAGAGGGCTTCAGCAGAGAGACAGAGGGAGAGAGATCGTGTCGTGTCGCCGCTCTTCCTCCTCCTGCGTTGAAGGAGGGCAGACCGCAGTGGGTTGACTCTGCGGTGCATGAGTCTCTCTGTGAGTCTCTGTGAGTCTGTATCTCTGTGTGTCTCTGTGTTTACTATATGGGCCATAGTGTGGCTAGCATGGCCACAAATTCACTACTGCGGCTTGTCTTTAAAGTGTCGCTCTGGGTCTCTATGGGTCTCTAATGCATCTCTATGTGTCTCTGTGCTTACTCGATGGGCCATAGTGTGAGTAGCATGGCCACAAAATCACTGCTGCGGCTTGTCTTTAAAGTGTCTCTCTGGGTCTCTATGGGTCTCTAATGCATCTCTATGTGTCTCTGTGTGTACTCGATGGGCCATAGTGTGAGTAGCATGGCCACAAATTCACTACTGCGGCATGTCTTTAAAGTGTCTCTCTGGGTCTCTATGGGTCTCTAATGTATCTCTATGTGTCTCTGTGTGTACTCGATGGGCCATAGTGTGGGTGGCATGGCCACTAATTCACTACTGTGGTTTGTCTTTAAAGCGTCTCTCTGGGTCTCTATGGGTCTCTAATGCATCTCTATGTATCTCTGTGCTTACTCGATGGGCCATAGTGTGGGTAGCATGGCCACAAATTCACTACTGTGGCTTGTGTTTAATGTGTCTATCTGGGTCTCTATGGGTCTCTATGGGTCTCTGTATCTGTATGTGCCTCTATGGGTTGACTATATTGCCCCCAGTTTGACAGTGTCATTAACGAATGTGTTGAGTGTTTGTTATGAGTATATAGATCGCTGCGTATATAAGGGAGTGTGTGTGAATGATGTATGTGTATATGAGCGTGTGTATATATGTGTGAATAATGTGTATGAGTGTGTGTGTGAACGATGTGTATGAGTGTGTGTGTGTAGTGATCGCTAACAGCTCTTGCCCCAACAGTCTGTTAAGGCTATACGGGGGATCTTTGTCTTTTGTGAATGATGTGTATATGAGTAAGTATGTGTGTAAATGATGTGAGTATGAGTGAGTCAGTGTGTGTAAATGATGTGTGAGTGAGTGAGTGTGTGTCAATGATGTGTGTATGAGTGAGTGTGTGTGTAAATGATGTGAGTATGAGTGAGTGAGTGTGTGTCAATGATGTGTGTATGAGTGAGTGTGTGTGTAAATGATGTATGAGTGAGTGTGTGTGTCAATGATGTGTGTATGAGTGAGTGTGTGTGTCAGTGATGTGAGTGAGTGAGTGTGTGTCAATGATGTGTGTATGAGTGAGTGTGTGTCAATGATGTGTGTATGAGTGTGTGTGTGTACGTGTATATTGGTGAGTATATGTGTGAACGGTATGGATGTGTTTAGTTTAATCGAGTGGGGAACGGTGTTCTGGTAAATATTTTGGTTATGTCACATCCAATCTCGCCTTATATTTGTCCCATGGTTTAATATTATAGGATTGTTATTATATACTGTATAAGCGTTCCCTTGACAAGACTCTAGTGGTAGTGCCTTACGCCAAAAATCCCTACTCCTAGCGTTGCGGAGAATATCGAGTGACAAAGTGAATCTCGGTGTGAGTCTGAGTTTATATGTATCTACCTATATGTGTGTATACGTGTGTGTATATATATACCCTGGGCCTCCCCTAGGTCGACTCAGCCTCAAATGAGTACCTTGTGCGGTGTGTAGTAAACATCGCCACTGGGGAGACAAAGGCAGCCGGGCGTGGTGTTGGCCACCCACCCCCTCGTGTGCCGTGCCGGCCTTCATAGGTGCTCGCTAACAGCACTTACCCCAACAGTCTGTTAAAGGCTATACGGGGTATATTTGCATGGTTGCTGTTGTTGTTGTTGGGGCAAGTGCTGTTAGCGAGCACCTATGAACAGCACTTGCCCCATCAGTCTGTACGGCTAGAGGGAGATATTTGTGTGGGTTACTATGTGTTTGAAACTATGTGTTTGAAACGCGAGTGTGTGTCTATATGAGTGGCGTACGTACGCTGTTTTATCCAGTATGTGTACGCGTCGTATGTGTGTGTGTATGTCTATGTGTGTGTGTCTATGTGTGTGTGTATGTCTATGTGTGTGTGTATGTCTATGTGTGTGTGTATGTCTATGTGTGTGTATGTCTATGTGTGTGTGTATGTCTATGTCTGTGTATGTCTATGTGTGTGTATGTCTATGTGTGTGTGTATGTCTATGTCTGTGTATGTCTACGTGTGTTTATGCTGGGGAGCGGTAGTGTAGCGGTTAGCGCGCTGCGCTACGAACCCGGCGACCCGAGTTAGATTCCCGCTCACGGTTATCTGAACTGGTCCTGGGCCTCCCCTAGGTCGACTCGGCCTCAAATGAGTAACTTGGTGCGGTGTGTAGTAAACATCGCCACGGGGGGGGGGAGACAAAGGCGGCCGGGCGTGGTGCCGGCTACTCACCCACCCCCTCGTGTGCCGTGCCGGCCTTCATAGTTGCTCGCGAACGGCACTTGCCCCAACAGTCTGTTGAGGCTATGCGGGTGATCTTTGTGTGTGGGAAGCCACGGCTATGCATCAGTGACGAATACGTGAACCGGTTGCTCGGCCCTCCACCTAGGTAGACTCGGCCTGAAATGGGCCATCTCGGTTTGTGCGTGGCCGTCCTGGCCTATTCTTCTGGCCTTAATAGGCGCTCGCGAACAGCACTTGGCCCCCAACCGTCGGTAAGAGGGATCTTTTGTCTTTGTATGTATCGTGTGTGTATCGTGTGTGTATTGTGTGTATATATGTACGTTTGCATAAGCGTGTTCATGTGTGTGTATAGGTGCAGCTATGTCCATGTGTAAGTGTGTACTGTGTTTACGTGCGTGTGTGTGTGTGTGTCTTCACAGGCCATGCGACTCGCTAACAGCACTTAACCCCAAAATTATGTTCGGCCTATATGGGGAATCTTTATCTTTGTATGTATATCGGAAGAAGGGTCATCGACCGAAACTTCGCATGCTACGTGATTTTTCTCTCTCTCTCTCTTTGAAGGCGACACGGTTTTGCCATTAACACGGGATGTGTGAGTTGAAGTTTTTATTTTATTTTACTTTTTAATGTTTTTACCTACGTGACTTTACCGAAAAAACCTAAGAATATGAGTTGAAGTTGTTGCTGTTCTAGATTTGAAGCTTTCGTGACTGCAAGGATTCATACTCTTAGGCTTTTTCGGTAAAGTCACGTAGGTAAAAAATTAACATAAAATTAATAAAAGTAATAATAGAAATAAAATAATAAATCACGACGTTTCGGAGGCAACACAAGCTTCCGTCTTCAGGTAGAACCATCACAGCACAATTGCTGTATCAAGTTGGTGGTGTGTTGTTGTTGTTGGTGGTGGTGTTCGTGCACCCAACTGCCGACGCATCCGCACGACAAACTGTGTTCGCTTCATTCTTAAAAGAACATTAACGCGACGATTCCACTTGTGCCGTGAGATGCAACGATGCGTTGGTTCAGCTCCGCGCGTGTCGCCACGAGTGTTTGAGAGATGCGAGTGCGATTTAAGATTAGGTCGCGAAATAAATAGAAATTTAAAAATAAATCAACTATCGTTGCTCCACGTACAGCAAAGCCAACATAACACGTGAATAAGTCAATTTCGAATGACAATTTGATATAATAAATACATAAATTTCACACATCCCATCAGCGAAACGGCCTCGTTGAGGAGCGCCTTAAAAAATAATATCAACACAAAGCGGTCATAGCCTCAGAGAACGGCAACCAAAAATCAATGAGACATTTTTTTATTCGAAATTCAAAAAACAAAAAACCGCTCAATATTTCAAGAGCCGCAATGCAACGTGGACGACTGCTGTCACGAAGCAGTTCCTTCCAGAGCCGCAGGTTTTTGCCGACCCCCTCCCCTCCTCCCGGTCACATATAGCCACTGCTCCCAACGAGTCGAGAATTCCTTGGTTCCCTGGGGTCTCACGGCTGCCGTCACGACGGAAGGGGCTTGCACGAGGGCCCCGGTTTAATGATCCACAGCAGATACCCCGAGGTTGAACGGTCCCACCACGGTATTTGATCGACTCGAGCCGAG